TATACAGTGAAGAGGCAAAAGAAAATATGTAAACCATTTACTCATCTGGTGACTATTTCCCCCAGCAAAGGTCCCACGGAAATGTACTCACTCTGCTTTAGGTTTCCTGGGATTGGATTGATGAAACCTACAAAAACATCAAAAATAAAATCGAAATATCTCCCTATTGTTTAAAATGGTTTGGTGGAAGTCCCCTCCCCAAATATAACACATATTACAAAGCCAAGAAGGGACAGTCTCCAAATGCTAATAAAGACTACAGTCTTTTCAATAAAATGTACAGCACACAACCAATGCTTAAAGCACTCCCAGTAACTCTTCCTGCAGATTTATATTGTGGGCCTTTAGTGAATTCCTGTCTTAAAAGACCTTGATGTTTAAATTTGCTAACTCATGTTTCCTAAGATTATTCCTATCATAGTACATATAGAAAATATCTGTACAACACATCCAAAGTAAAAGAACAAGGTTTTTAGCCAACCACTGTCTTCAGTGACCCTGGGACAAAAGATCATTGTATCTGCACACCTTGGAAGTTTGCCACTGTGCTACAGCCGAATAGCTGGAAGTTCTCACTTAAACTGGCCAGTCACAGAATTATCAACCATTTACTTGAATCATCAAGGACCTTTGAGGTTAGAGACCTTCCAGGTATACTTCAAGTTTTAACAAGATGACTAATAGTAAACCTAATAAAAAACAATTCAGAGTTCAGCCCAATAACCAAGTTTTTAAAATATCTGATGGTATGAATACTTCCTAAGCAAGATGTTAAACTCCTTTTTTTTTTACATGTGGTTTAATTCATAAAATAATGTAGAATGATTTTAAATGTAAACATTAGCAGAGAGAGAGAGAGAGAGAGAGATCAGTTTGGTTTGTAAAACTGTTTAAAGGAGCTCAACCCTAGAGAGTGTAGTGGCACACACCTATAATCCCAGCACTGGGGAAGCTAAAGCAGGAGGATTACTGCAAGTTCAAGGCCAACATACATGGTGAGTGCAAGGCCAGCCTAAATTACATAGTGAGACCCTGTCTCAAAAAAACCAAAAAGAAGGGCCAGGTATGGTGGCACACACCTGTAATCCCAGCACTCGGGAGGCTGAGGCAGGAGGATCAGGATCGCTGTGAGTTCAACACCAGCCTGGGCTACATAGTGAGTTCCAGATCAGTCTCAACTACATAGTGAGACCCTGTCTCAAAAAACCAAAAGGAAAAAAAAAAGAAGCTCAACCCAGCTGGACCTGGTAGCACACACCTATAAGTCTAGCATGTGGGAAGCTGAAGGAGGAGGATCACAAGTTCAAGCACCTGTCTCAACAACAAAAATAAATAAAACAAGTTCAACCCAATCTCATTTTAAATTATCACAGGAAACACTATTAGACATTCCTGCTCAAAACAAGGTTTACAACCATGAGGAAATAATTTGAACTAATAATTTAATATGCATCCCAGGCAAATCTGATGCTGTACTATGGAAATATGGAGGAAATACTTATAGAGGGCTTTGCTTTAGTTAATATCTTTGCTTTACTTAGTATCTTCAGAATGCTATCTTCATATAGTAATACCTAGCATGGAATAAACACTCCAATACACACATTTTACATAACATCCTGACATTTGTTTTGCTTCCACTATAACTACAAAAGGATCTAGTCTGAGTGTCAGCATATATGTGCGCTTCCATTTAAAACTCCAGAATACAGTTTCTAATTTCTTTGGAAAAAAAATTTCTTAGAAACACTCAACTGTCTAGGGTTGGAAGTGCATTTATATATAGCCTTTTTACTGCCATAAACAGTACAAAGTGATATAATAAAATCAGAATAAATATACCATTTTTTTTTCTGTTGGGGCAAAGACTAGTCCAACTTAACAGAGTAGATATTTAAATACCAATGAAGCTCAAATTTTAACTTACCTTACCTATGAACAACTTCAAGCTAAGCTTGATTAGTACAGCTAATATAGGTGTAGTACCTCTTATCGAAAATGACTGAGACCAGTATATTTAGGGTTTCACATTTTTTTTAAACTTGAAATATTTTCTTTCTTTCTCTTTGGTGGGGTACTGGGGATCAAACTCAGGACCTTGCACTTATGAGGCAGGTGGTGGAATCAGAGCTAAATCCCCAGCCCTTGGAATATTGTCATATATATAATGTCTTGGGGAGGGGAGGGACCCAAGTCTAAACATGAAATTCCTTTATGTTTCATATATACCTTCTATATAGCTTGAAGATAATTTTATATAATATTTTTAATAATCTTGCGTATGAAACAAGTTTCATGATGTGGAATTTTCCACTTGTGGCATCATGTGAGTGCTCACAAAAATATCAGATTTTGGATTAAGGATGCTCAACCTATACTTCCATAAGATTATCAATTTCATCTCATATTTGCTATTACAAATAACACTGTAAAACTAAATACCCAACAACACGCCATTTTCCTATTCAGTGACAAGTGTGGATCTTAATTAGAAGTTTAAAATCACTAAGATCTCAATTATTAAGTATGAATGGGAGAAATAAGATTTAAAACAAACCATTTCATCCAATTATACATGAAAAATGAAAATAGCTATAAAATATGCTCTTTGACTCCCCCCATCCTGGAAAGAATATTATTAAATATTTGTGTATTGTGTTTTGACACAGGACTTGTCTAAATGGTCCAGTTCAAATGGCCCTGAACTCTGAATCCTCTTTCCCTAGCCTCCTAAGTGCTGGGATGTGCCACAATGCCCAGCTTAAACTTAAATGTTTCAAAAACAGCATTCTCTTTTTAAGAGTGAGAGAAGGGGTGGGGGGGTTATAAGCAGTTTTCTTTCAACTATTTTCAGCTTTGTCATCCTGACATTTCTCATACCCCTACCTTAAAATTCACAGTAAATCTGCTGTGCTGATGGGATTAAAGCAAGAATACATCCTTTCTTACTCCCCTTTCTTGAAGCAGCTGTGAACAGACTGGTGCTGTTTCTTAGAGAGTAATAGGTCAATCACAATCAACATAATATAGAAACTTGTCCTAACTGGTCTCACTCTACTCTACTACTTACTTCCAAGAAACATTTAATGGAGGTTACTGATCAAATGGGGATCAATAAGCAAAAAGCAACTCAGTTCAATTTAAGAGGCTATAAAGCATTCCATTCATTTATTACATTAAGAACAGGAAACATAAAGCTATTGAAATAATAAACAGAGGCTGGGAGTGGCTCAGTTATAGAATACATGCTTAGTAGGTATGAAACTTTGGATTCAATCCCCAACGTATACACAACACAACTACAACAACAACGATGAAAAATCCCAAACCACAAACAAATTTTCTTTCTTAAGTTGAAAGTCTAGCCAGGGATTTAGCTTAGCGGTACCATGCCTGCCTCACAAGCTCAAGGTCCCGAGTTCGATCCCCAGTACAAAAAAGAAAAAAAAAAAGTTGAAAGTCTATACCAGAACCAAATAAAAGAACAAAGCCAGGAAAGACACACACAGCTATACCAAAAGGGGATGGCAGGAAGTAATAAACCACATATCCAACAAGTCATGATCTAAGGAAAAGGGAAAGGAAAATCAAAAGGCATAAAGTAAGTACCAAAAAAGTAGGTATTTCCATCTACTTGTTCACAGGTATATCCCCAGATCCTAGAGCTTCACAGCGAATTACATCCTTAGTCTTTTTTATTTTTTGAGACAAGATGTCACTAAGTTGCCTAGGCTGGTTGAACCTGCAATTCTCCTGCCTAAGCCTCCCATGTAGTTGGGATTACAGAAGTGTATCACCAGGTCCAGCTACTAAAATTTTTTGAACAGGTAAATAGATATAATATTATACATGTAATACTTTTAAAAAGGAGCTTTTCAAAGTGAAGTGGACTCCCACATGTTCCTGAGACCTTATAAGGGAGTCTAGGAGGCTAAAACTATAATAATACTAAGACATTTTCAGAGTGTTGACTTTTACAGCAACATTTAAATGCTGAAGGCTTGGCAAATATTTCTGGCCATTATATACAGTTTAAAAGAAAACAAAAAACTCTGGCAAGAGCTGGGCATGGTGGCACACACCTATAATCCCTGCATTCTGGGAGGCTGAGGAAGGAAGATCACAAATTCAAGCCCAACCCATATAACTCATGAGACTCTATCTCAAAATAAAAATAAAACAAGGGCCAGGGATGGAGCTCAGTAGAGAGGCCCTAGTATAAGAAGGTTTACATAGTTCTACTTATGCCATTAGCCTAAAGATTTTGAGGTCTTTTTCACTCCACCTTTTAAAAAGCATTTAGCTGGGAATGTAAACTCAGTGTCAAGAGTACTTCTTAACATTGGAGAAGCTCTATGTTTAATCCCTAATATTGACAAAAAAAAAAGTGCTTAGAGAACTAGTTTAACCCAATTCATCAAGCCACTTCTTTTCATATGATCGATCTCATGACCCCTGAGCATTTTCTTCAATGCACTCAACACATATGTACTTTATGTGGTTAACACCTATCTCCCCATTATCTTATAAATTCTATAAGGACTATGCCTGTTTTGGCTCAATACTATCATTAACACAGCATATTGCCAGGAACATAGTTAAGTACTCAAATGTTTGTTTAGTAAAGGAAAAAGGGTAATTCATTCTCTTATTTTTTTCCCCCTTTGGGCAAGAGTAGTAAAATTCAGGATTGTTTTCTCTGCAAGAATTGTAGTTTTCTAATAAGATTCGTCATAAAATGAAAAAGAATGTGTCCTTAATTTTCTCCAACATTAATTATAAGATGAAATTAATTCTGAGACTACAATAATTTTTACCACTGTCTTTGATGAAACTTCAATTTTATCAAGAAAGACAGGTAAAAAGCTTGACTAAATTTCTAATGGGTCACAATATGGATTGTAAGTACAGGAGGCCCTTTCCTTTACGTTGCAGTTACTGGTTGGGAATTTCTAATGGAAAATTTTGTTTCACTAATAGAAATCCTTCCTTCCTTTCAGGCTGGTTATATGACTATACAGAGACGTACACTGGCTCTTTCTACTTCTCTGGAACATGCTATCTCCTCTCCTCACTGTCCTTTTTCTTTGTACCACTGGCTGAGAGATGGACAAGCAAACAGTTTCCAGAAGGAAAGAGGACTACAATCAAGTGATGAAAGTTTAACAAAAGAAAACATAGATTAGTAAGTTTTTGGAAATAAAAGCTTAGAAGATGATTCCTTGTTTGTGAAATGAGAAGGTAAACCAGATAGTTTTTATGTTCCTCCTTGTTTTAGCACTCTGAAGAATATCTATCCCGGTAGAAAGTGTACTATAATAAATTAATCCTAATTCTCCATTGTGCCTTGGTAATTCAATCACTAAATTGAAGAATCTTTTTTTTAATTTACAGAAATAGTAAATATAGCCACTGGTTGACTAGAACTTAGAATCTGAATGAATACTCAAAACTGCTTAGTGACTAGAATGGTATACACCTCCCCAAAAGTTCCAAAAAAAATAAATAAATAAAAACCCTACAAAACTAACATCTTCTTAAGGGCACTCTTAAACAATGTTACTATTGTCCCATCTAAACAACATTACTTTTTCACTACATTTGATTACTGAAAATATTTATGTTAAATATCTAGATGTCTCTGAAGAACCACAAGTTTCATGGAAAAGTTGAATAGGTAGTTTTAATGGGAAACATATTTAAATTTAAAATGTATTATATATGTAATCATTGTGGTGATTTTTTTTTTTTTTTTTTTGGTGACACGGTGTCACTATGTAGTTCAGGCTGGCCTCGAACTCTGCTGGGATTACAGGCGTGTGCCACCACCCCTGGCTTTATTTGGGTGATCTTTATGCAGGGGGGGATGTTTTCTCCAATACCAACCTCCCTTAAAACCTCCCAGAACACTTCTTAAATTATTATCATCATTATTCTATCCTTCCATTTCTTTATGCCTTAGAACATCTGATGATTCCCTAATGAGAAAAATCGTAAACAGAAAGCCTCATTTTAGCTCCAAGATGCCAAACCTTGCCTTCTCACTATGTATACCTTTGGCCAAGCTTTGCCACCTGCTGCAATCCCAATGACTTGTCTTTTTCTATCAGACACAACCTCACTTAATCATTACAATGTGACTCAAAGGCTCATTCCTTTAGAAAAACCTTCCCCAGGATCTGGAATCCCATCTAACTTTTAAACAGAGGTCAGCTTTGTGCATTAGATCAACAAGGTAATGTTTTATTCATTTTTGTATTTTCAAAGGCCTACCACAAGTTTGAAACCAAATTAAACTAGGTTGAAATCTATTATCTCAAAGACAGTAGGTAGTTTTCTTTAAGTGTAAATGTCAAATATGTTTTTCACATTTTACCCGCAAGACATATGAATAAAAAACAAAAATACTACCCCTCATACAAACAGCAAAAATAGCTGATTAGTAATATAATCTCAACTCTGCCACTCATTACCATAAAATCTCATAAAGTTAGTTTCTCTGATCCTCAATTTTCTCCTCTTTATGAGGATATTACCAAACTACTCCACAGATGTATTGTGAGAATTACACGAAAATATGCTTGTATCAAAGTATCCTTCATGAAGAATAGCTACTTTTTCTTTCTTCTGTTTAAAAAGGAAGATGTTTTACTAAGAACCTCTCTTATCAATTCCCCCTTACCTTAGATATAGTGTTGACTTAATCTTCACAATAAACCTCAGAAGCAGATACTGTGATACCTAATTTACAAATGAATAAACTGAAGGTCAAAGAAATTATATACCCTGTAAATGGTGTCACAATTCACGTACAATCTGACATGAAACCTTAAACTTCCCCCTTTATATTACTCGGGCTTCTTAGCAGTAACAGCAAATTATGAAGCTAATTTCACTCAAAGCAGTTACCTTATAATACACTTTTTATATATTTTCTTTGTTTTGCGGTGCCAGGGATCAAACTCAGGGCCTTGTGCTTGTGCTTGTCAGGCAGGCACAGTACCACAGAGCTAAATCCCCAGCCCTTTTATAATATATTTTTAACTCAAATTTGCCTAAATTTTAATTTCTAGATTGCAATGAAAAAGATAATACAAAGTATCTAACAATCAACCACTCCCATAAAAAACACAAATCATATCTGCTATAACAGTGTACTTGCTAATAATCAACCTTCTTAGGACTTTTTTTTTTTGGTACCTGGGATTGAACTCGACCTTGCACCTGTAAGGCAGATGTGGTGCCAATGAGCTAAACCCCTGGCCCACCTTCTTAGTTCTAATACTCACTGAATCCAATCAAAGAAGGTATTGCTTAACTACAGGCCATTTATAATTCTTTAATAATTAGTTGGAATGTTTATAAGTTATAAGCTTTGAAATTCGAAGAAAATGTCTAGTAAGGCTATGACAATTTGAATATAAAAATAAGTCTATTTTCTTTTTTGTTTGTTTGTTTTTGTTTTTGTTTTTGTTTTTTTGATACTGGAGATTGAACTCCAGTCCTTGTGCTTCCAATATAGGCGGCAGAACCACTAAGCTAAATCCCAGCCAAGTCTATTTTCTTGTAAGATACTGATTATATATAAAATTGGTTACGATATTTTTTACTGCTCTAAGAACATGCCATACCATCATTATAAAATTTTCCATATATGTTTAAAATAAAATATATCTCTGATATTACAACTACCTTACAATACTTTTGAATTTTTAGAGCTCCTTTCCATCTATTACCTCATTACCATGTTAATTCTGTGAGGATGTTTAGACAAGTATTATGATTATGATTTTGTATTTAAGGAACAAAAGCAATTTAATATCAAGGTATTTGCCTAAGGTTACAAAGCTACATCTTACCAAAGCCAATCTAAAACCTAATTATTGGGTTGCAGGTAGCTTAGTAGTAAAGCCACATGGAGGCCCTTTGTTCTGATCCCTAACGCCCACGCGCAAACATGCGCAACACACACACACACACACACACACACACCCTCACAAAAATTTAAATCTAATTATTAATGCTGATTAGGTTAAGCTCCTGGCTTTTCCTTTATAATAATTCTTACTTTAAATTTACTTAGAGCAACAATTAGACTTAAATGGATTGAAATAATTTTGTAACATTTTTCAAATATTTTAGACACATAAATATATGATACACTGCAAAAAATAAGCTGCTGTGTAAATAAAGTAACCTAACTATAGAATCACTCTTTTCTACCTGAGAAAAACACCATACATTAATGTTTCAATCTTTTAAGTAACAGATGTAGGTCCAGAGATTTAGCTCAGTGGCACTGCGCCTGCCTTGCAAGCAAGCACAAGGTCCGAAGTTTGATCCCCAGCACTGCCAAAAAAGAAAAAAGAAAAGAAACAGAATGTAAAAACTTCAGGGCTGGGGATTTAGCTTAGTGGTTCCACTGCCTGCCTGGAAGCACAAAAGACCCAAGTTTGATTCCCAGTACCAAAAAACAAAAAACTTCAATAGTGTTTTCTCTGAAGATCTCAATATAAAATCAACGTCCAGTACTTTTTAAAATCAAGTCTCTCTTAAGCCAGAAACATCTTTATAATGCTTTAGATCTACACAGCTGACTCCTATTGTTACTCATTTGCTACTAATATCCATCCAATTGTCTCACATTATCACACAGACCTAAATGAAAAATAACTAAAAAGTGCCTAGAATCTGCTTCCAAAATCAGTATAAAATTCTTCGTATTTTATTTCTATGAGAGATAAACTGGCATTACCCAGGATCACTGGAACAAATCAGACAAGTCATTTCTCTTAAAAAGAACCTAATCCCTAGTACACTGCAACAGAAGCTAGTACGTTGTGAAATCACCTTTAATCCAACATGATCATCAACCTTTTCAGGGATGCAGAGAATGAACTAAGATTAGGGTACCAACTATCAGGGTCTGGCTAGCAATGAAGGAATTCTTGAGATCCAGGGCTTTTGAGTTTTAAAACTAGGATGGGGTGTCTACTCTTTTTTTTTTTTTTTGTATCGGGGATTGAACTCCGGTCCTTGCGCAAGGCAGGATACCGAACTGCTGAGCTAAATCCCCGGCCCAGGTTGTCTACTTTTAAGGAGCAGAGAATATGTCTGGATACTTAATAGCAGGCAGCACATACACATACACATACACATACACACACACACACACACACACACACACACACACACACACCCTCACAAATTCCTTTTTACCTCATGCAAGCCAAGGCAGGCTACCGAACCGCTGAGCTAAATCCCCGGCCCAGGTTGTCTACTCTTAAGGAGCAGAGAATATGTCTGGATACTTGATAGCAGGCAGCACATACACACACATACACACACATACACACACACACACACACATACACACACACACACACACCCTCACAAATTCCTTTTTACCTCATGCAAGCCCTGGCTAGCATAACAGAAAGTAACAAGGGAACACAGAATATTTTTAATGAGAACCTACATCAGAAATGAACGAAGGCTTTCTGAAGTAAAAATTTTAAAAAATGAGTTGACTTTTTTCACTGAGAAACTTCCAACTTCTACTTCTTATGCTACTTTTCAAATAGTATTTGAGAGGAAATAAAGCCAAGATGTCTCACACTTTGGTCTGTGTCAACCAACCAATGTTCTCTTAGGAGGGAAAAGAGAATTCTAGCCTTTTAAGAATTGTGTATCAGGACCAAAATAAAAGCTAAGTGGCTTTTAAAGAGCAAACACTAGAATGTCATTCTTCTTGTATCTCAAAGCCAGTAAGACTTTAATACAAGTTGCTGACATATACCAATCTGTAAATCAGAGGAGTTTGCTTACTACACTTAGAACAATTTCAAGGCTAAATGCCACTACAGCACAGCTCTCTGAAGCCATAGCAAGAGGATGACTCACCAAGTGGCGGGTGTCTTAGGTTTTACAAATAATGGGTATCTGTCTGGATGACAACAAATATTAAGTGCCCAACAGCCGAATTCATCCTGCTTGGCTAAGAGAAGGGAGAGGCTAAAATAAACTGGTCAGTAGTACAGTACCTGTATAATGGAAAGAAGAAATCAGACTGCTACAACAAAGCTTATAATCCATGCAGACTTTTAAAATGTCCTCTGCATATATTTTATATTCCAATTTTCACTTACCAGAAATGTATAACACAATAAGGTCTAAGATAAAAATAAATTTTATGACCCCCAAATTAAAAATAACTAAAAGTGAGAATTATATTGAGTTCATCTGAATCAGTCATAAGAAAAATAAATCCATATTTAAACCCTATTATACTTAATGACTTGATGTCAGTTTCCACTCCAGTGAAAATTAGCAGTTCATAT